CTGCATGCCTACAAAGTACCCAATATCCATAGGTCTTTTCTTTAAGGACACATTTTTAGTACAGACTGAATGAAAAAAAAAATGACACATTTGCGTATTTCCCCCAGCAAGCACTTCTGCATTAGCTCAGCCCTTGGCTGCCTTGGCAAGGAGTGAAATCATAATAGGGCTCATCACAGAGCTGAGATAAAGCAAACAAACCCCATCCTGCCAGGCAGCTGCTGCTGCTCACATCTGAGCTGCTGGTAACAGGAGACCAGGGCATGTCTTGCTGTTGGTTATTGTGCATTATCCAGGATAAGCCCTGGAGCCAGCATGGTAACTCTGGGTTTGCAGAGCTGTAATGGGGCTCTGACCTAATGTCACAATAGGCACAGGCAGCGAGTCAGGCCCCACTGGTGGCAGAATTTGACCCAGCCTGGGTCTGCTGCAGTCAGTGGAAAAACACCCATTGGCTTCACTGGAAGCTCATTCAGCATTTCAGTGCCAGCAGGGAAACAAAGCTCAAAAGGTCACACAGAGAAAACATAAAGGGGAAATTGTTCCCTGGCACAAGGAGCTGCTTCAATTTTTTTTTGTTCAAGCTGGTCTATCAGTTTGATTTTCAGCAGAGCACTGCATCTTACCATGCAGACTCCCTAACTAACTAGGCAGGAGCATGATCAGTTTTAAAGAAAATCATGAGTTTGTCTGCAGACAACTCAATATTTCATTGCATCGGGCCCTGTTCTCATACTATTTTTTATTGATCAGAATACCTCAGGCTATTAAGTTTATTAATTAAATGATAATTTTTTTTCCTGGTGAGTATACAAGGAGATAAATGTCTTACAAATAAACTCAGAGCTTGCAGGCTGAGTCATGTGGTGATTTAGAAGACATTTATCTTTTTCTCTCCCCCTCAGCAAAAAGTAATCATTGCCACAATACTCTGCAAGTCTAATGTGGCTGTGAAATGTGCAACATAAAGAGATATTTTTCATTTCCAGCACAATTATACCAAGCTTTTATGTTATACTAATTTGTAATTGCAATGCTAACAAGAGGATATGGATAACTGCTAATCCATTTAAGCACAAACTGCCACCCTTGTGAAGTAGAGGTTATCTGACCCCATCAGCTGAACCCAACCTCTGCAGAGCCTGAATTTAGATTCAAATGACTCTGTTCTTCCAAACCATACCAGTTTGCACATTAATTTTCACTGCTGTTGTGAGCCAGGCCTGGGGTTGACAGGTGATGCTTTAAAGCTGAGACACAGGATCTCCCTGAAGAACTTTCCCCCAGTGCTGTTGTTCCCTGGCTGAACCACTGGAGAGCACTTTGAAGGGGAACAAGTGTCTTTTACCCCACCACCCACCTCATAGCAAGCAGAGAAGTTGATCTGGTGCCTGCTAAGCATTGAAGGAAAATATCACAGTTCTTTTATCAAAGCCCCAAACAAATTGTGGCTGCCAACTGACACCGAGTCCAAGGGTCAAGTAGGAGCAGAAACTCAGAAAGCCAAAGCAAGTGAGAGCAGAAAAAATGCACCTTAACTTTTATGCTTTTTGTTCTAAAAATTGAAGCATTTTGTTTATTCTAGAAGAATGTTATGATATTCTTAGAAAGTGAGGTGTGTTGTGCAGCACAGAATGGGACAGAGCATAGAATGGTGAACTCTTGGGGATAAACCAGACTCCAGTCTGGATTTTTTTTCCCTGATATCATTTTGCCCAAGACAAGACAGACTAAAAATTATTCAAGATTTGGCCCATACATTTAAATATAAAATACCAAATATTAGTTTATTTTCTTTAGCATTTACTAATCTCTTACAAATCACAGCATTTCCCATTGATGTTGTTGACAGCTTTGGGCAGGCTGAACTAGTTTGGTCTAAGATAGGCTGATCTGCAATGTCTCATTCAAAACCAACACAGCAAGAACCACATACTCCTATGTTTGTAGTGTTTCTCTACAGTTTGAAATGGGAAAAGGGGCTTAACAGAGAGAGGTAATGGCAGTAAAGGCAGTGCTCTCAGAAGCATATTGTA